ATGTATGAGTATATATAGGTACTCGTATATATAGCTAAAATACACTGGTATGTATGAATCCGTGGAAAATGCTCAAAGAACTTTTAGATGTCTTTAACATCTGTTGCAACACCGTCCTGGTTTTATCTAAGCATGGAAATTCTATGCATCAACCGCTCCGTAAACTTGGCAAGAGAATTTAATCGAGCTTGGTAACGGTGAATTCCAGCCAGCTGTGAATGGGGAGGGAGGTAGGTAGGTAGCACGATCTAGAAGCTGTAAATGATGAGTGGCGTTTCAATATAAACCTTGAGATCAATAACCACCCAGTACGACCTACTTGTTACTACATTGAATTCTATCCTGTCCTGTCCTGTCATGTCTTATTTGCATCAAAAAGCTTCAATCTCGATAAGCGGTAATATATCTAACCAGCAATATATCTAGCCAGTAATATATCTAATCAGTAATATATCTAACCAGTATATATCTAACCAGTATATATCTAACCAGTATATATCTAACCAGTATATATCTAACCAGTATATATCTAACCCGTAACATATCTCTTTACTATATATCGTATCACTCAGGAATCTCAAACCACCAAGACTGAGTGGGGGTTTACCGAGCCGTTGTAATGTTAATACATGTATCATCACATCCACCGCGCAGGTGAATATCTTAAATGGGGAGATAGGCACTGTCGAGTCACTTTTCCTTGTCGGTATGATGATCGATAACGATCGTATGTCTCGTCTCCTGATCTTCTCTCCAGCTGGCGACTAGAGAGTAAGATCCTACAAACTATTGATACAGATACCCATCAAAAGAATCACTGCAACAAGAATTAGGGGTAAAAGGGATTATCGCTAGGAAATACAACGTACTCACTCATCTTCATCTACAATCATTCTACCAACCGATCACTTACTTTCTTCACTAGCATCGACTTACCTGCAAACCCATGGAATAAGCAACACCTAGATAGATCGAGCCGCAAAAGCCGCAATCATACCTACCTACCTACATCCACACATACATACCGGCACCCGCATCGGCATCGGCATCGGACCTGTTTTTCCGTCCAAAACAAAGTCAGCATATCAAATTCACCAATCCTCATAATTGGTTCGACGGAGAGTAAAGGTTGCAAAACAGAGTACAGAACCACAGACTCCTTCCTACATACAATATTCGAGTATTGAGTATCAAACAATGTATGTCATCCCCCCGCCAATTCCAAAAATCTATCTTTTGATGCTTGGATTATTCGATTATTGCATATAATTTCATTGATATGGATCGGAAGTTACTGGAATGATTAACTTACCAAATCAAACTCCATTCTAGTCTCAAGCTCTCATGATCTTTTCTTGAACGCGGCTTGACAACACAAACCCAACTATTAATTCCCACTCTTTATCGTACTCTACTCCTGATTCCACTACCTACTCTCACTCTGTCTCCCACCATCACTCCCACTCTCATCTGCACTCACTCCCACTTCAATCCGGCGAATTATCTACCCGTCCGTATCCATACAACAAAAACAACAACAACAGCAACATCATTGTCATCATCATCTCCATCTCACAGCCAATATCGGCCTTGTCACCTTGGGCTGTTTCCACGTCATGCAAACCCCAGTCTCGCTTCTTTCGCCCCTTGGTAAGTTCCAACGTTCGTTATTGGAGAACCAGAAAAGCAGAAAGAAATCCCATTTTGGTTTCTGGTATTCATCATTGGCCAATAAATTGACCTCGTGGGTAAATGGCTCGATGTTAATTCATTTTGCATTCTCATCATCTCCTTTCCTTCCTGCCCAGATTTCCTTTCAATGCCATCTTCTTCTTTGGTATTTGTCACACTGCATGCTGTATATTGTACAAATATCCGAATGAATCATATCTACTTGGATGCTGCGTAGTAGTACTACATTGTATACATCCCAAAAATATCACGGGGAATTTGATGAGATACCTTGGTAGTTATGGGTCACAATCACCATCTCCTCTCATGTGGTTTAACAACAACCCTACTTCATCCTGTTCATTCAGTTCATTCAGTTCCCAGAAACACGGCTGAACCAGAAATTCAAAACTTATCGCCATACAAGTGTTACCATTCCGCAGTCATCACGATCATGGCAAAGGAACCATACAATCCCTCTTCCCCGGTCTCACATTGAAATTCTAAATTATCATCACCGGATTTGTATTGTAGCACGAAACGCAGATGACACTGCAGATTTCAGTATCTTTCAGAAGAAATCAATATGACAAAAATGACAAAATTGTTATCAATTTGCTGACTTGATTCATGCGATTTCTAGGCTACAGTAACAATAGTTGTGGATATTGTCACAATGATTCAGGCAGTTAGTTACATATTCTCATTACCTACCTACAAACCTGTATTCTTGGCAACATCATGCCATATTTCTCTATCACACGTGCTTCTTTTGATGGGGAAATTACTTCCTTTCATATACTCAATATTGTTGAGTATCTGGATTAGTTGCTCAAAAGCTTCCTTCAAGCTTTCACGGCGTGCAGAGGTCACTCATTTATCTGTTTTTACCTTTAGGTTATTCGTACTACGCCAGGACCCAATCACTCCAACCAGAATTTTATCAAGGACTTCTCGATCGAGGATGGAGACGCTCAGGTACCCTTCTCTATAAACCCGATCTTCGAAAATCATGCTGTCCACAATATACCATCCGCCTAGATTCCCACCAATTTCGCGCGACAAAAGATCAACGGCAAGTCGTAAATCGTTTCAATAAATATGTCCTCGGAGATGCATATACAAAAGAAGCAGCAAGATTATTTCCAAAATCACGCGAGCAAGCTAAGAAACGTAATACGGACTTTGATCTCGAGGAAAGAATTCATGAAGGGGAAAAGGAAAGAGTTAAGACACCACCGGAACCAGCACATGCTTTTACTGTTACGCTGGAAACAGATCAGTTTACAGAAGAAAAATATACTCTTTTTGAAAATTATCAAAGGATTGTTCATCATGAACCTCCTGATAGAATAAGTAAAGGAGGTTTCAAAAATTTCCTCTGCTCTTCCCCTTTACCACGAAGTACCACAACCATCGACGGCAAAATCAAACACCTAGGTTCCTACCACCAATGTTACCGTCTCGATGGAAAATTGATCGCTATAGGCGTTCTAGATCTCCTCCCTAAATGCGTCAGCGCAGTCTACTTCATGTATCACGAATCGGTACATTCTCACGGCTTTGGAAAACTAGGCGCAGTGCGAGAAATAGCATTAGCAAAAGAAGAGGGTTATCAATATTGGTATGCAGGTTTTTACATTCACACTTGTGTGAAAATGAGATATAAAGGGGATTACAGTCCTCAGTATGTTCTGGATCCGGAAACGTACAATTGGATACTCTTTGATGAACATCTGAGAAGAAGATTTGACGAGAGGAAATATGTCAGCGAGACTCAAACAGCGTCTGAATCCTCAGAATCTTCAACACAAAACTCGGGTTCAAACAACACGTCGGATGAAGATTCATCGGCTCTCTACAATGCAGATAGTAAACCCATCTTCGAAACATCCATGCCGGGTCTCCTTTCTAAATCCGACATTCTAACAAAATCCCCACTCGATCATGTTAAAATCCGCATCGGCCAAACTATGCACGAGACGCATGAGCTGGTGAGTTGGGAGAGCGATAGTGTAGGGGATGTGGATAGTCTCAAGGGGATCATTGCAGAGTTGGTTAGTGCGGTTGGAGTCAGGCTGGCGGGGGAGATGGTGGTTTATTTCCGATAAAGGGGGAGTGGAAGCGCGGAGCGTATGTTCTTACATTGAAAGAAGGGGTTGGGGGGGGGGGTGGATTACATGGTAGATCAATGGGAGAGAAAGAATTACATGGGTATATGTGTATAACGCAATGATATTTTTCACATTTTAGACATCGCTAAGATTTTAGCACACAATCTCTGCGTTCGTTATGTTGTGTTGTTTAACTCATCTACCTATTCCATACCCCTCTCCTGCCTGCCTCTGAATTCTACAACGAAGTAGATTAACAAGAATAGCGAGAGAGAGAGAGAGAGAGAGAGAGAGAGAGAGAGAGAGAGAGAGAGAGAGAGAGAGAGAAACCCCCAGTCTAAGTTAAGTTATCGTTATCATATCTAAAATTTAAAATCCAAAAAGTCCTCTTAATAAAAGAAAAGAACAGAGAATCGAGCTTCGAGCTTTGGAAAAGAAATACTTGTGTATTATGTATAAAAGAAGGGTAGAAATATATATATATATATATATGTGTGTGTGTGATTTTTCGAACTAATTGTTTTTTTTTGGGGGAGGGAGGGGGGGGGGGGGGTGAGAAGAAGAGGGAAAGTTTAGGGGAAAGTTTGGGGGTGTGTGTGTGGGGGGGGGGGGTGTTTTAGATAAGTCGGATAGAGTAGAGAGTGGAGAGTAGAGAAAAGTAAAGGAGGAGAAGGGAGGAGAAGGGAGGAGAAGGGAGGAGAAGGGAAGGGAGGAGAATAATGGATATCATGAGGGATGTTGTGTCCAGTATCTAATTTCTAGGGGGGGAAGGGGAGGAGGGGATTGCAACACAGAAGATTAAGATTATATGTTTGAATTTGATTACTTTACTTTGTAGAGGTAGGTAGGTAATTGATGGAAAGAGAGCAAATAGATGATAGCTAATAGATACTAACTAATAGCTAAGAAAGATTGTTTGTATTAAAACTCTCTCGTATTAGAGAGCTTTCCATCCAATACAATACACATTTTTAAGAGAACAAGCAAATTTACATACCCCCTTCCAAGCACCCAAGACCAAGACATCGACAAACCCAAATAGAAAGCACGAATCACATTCCTCAAACGCTAATCATAAATTCATAATGCTACTTACTGCATACCGCATACCGCATAAATTTTCCATCGTTTCTTCATAATTTCATCCGGGTAAATATAAATTACCTAGGTATCATCACCAACCAATATACCATCGTATCGTGCTCCCCAGCAGCGTTATGTGAGTTCCATAAAGGTAGCTCTACCAGACTCATTAACCATAACGATATTATTATCATAGACGTCACAGGAAGTCGGTCTATGATTGGGCAGAAACAGCATCACCTTTCGGTTGTCCGCCGATCCCCATTCTATACGATCCCGCTTGACCTGGATATTACTCAAGATAGTTCGCTTTGGAGATGAACCACCCATGAAGAGAGGATCAACCCAAAGAGGTCCTTTATCCGTTTGAAAATATTGATGATCTTGAGAAAGAACTAGCTTGTTGCACTCTGTATTTATGTCAAAGGTCTGCTGCAAAGTCCATGCAGAGTGTTCTGTTTCTGAACGGCCCCAAACCCTGATGGTAGCATTGCCAAACATAGAAATTTTGTTGCTTGATACTAGTACACGACTATCAGATGAGAACGCAACTGCTGTCACGCAGTAGACTCGGTTTTGTGCTCCACATGGTTGAGATAGTGTTTGTATATGTCGTAGACGGGCACATGAGATTGTGATGTCGTTTTCGAATGAGTAAACCACCACTAATTGCTCAGAATCTGGGAAAACAGATATTGCTTCAACGTTTCCATAATACTCGACCAATGCCTGTGTGCAAACAAGCTGCTGAGAAACGATGCTGAGTATCCTAATAGTGCCGTCACTGAAGCCCAGAATAAATAATTTATTATCGGGTGAAATTATGATTTTGGTTGGACAGATTTCCTCCGGATACAATCTGTAGTTATAACGGCATTGAATGTCGTGTGTTTCAGGAGTAGGTTCCCACACCGTCACCGTTCCCCCTTTGCGACTCGTCACCAAGAAAATACTATCAGGCGAATATGCCAGTGACGTGAAAGATCTAAAGCATGGTGGCGCTTCCTTTTCTTTGTGTATCTGTTGGGTTTCTGTGAAGGCTATATCCCATATGGCGATATCTCCATTCTCATAACCAGCAGCAACAGAACCACCATTTGGCGACAGTACTGCTAGGATCATTGGTCCAAAACCTCCCTTAATTGGTGACTTTCTTGTAGAAACCCATATAGGCGGTCGTTCTTCTATGCGATTCCAGATCTGTATTGTCCCACACACTGCCATTATCTTCTTACCGCTCGATGAAATTTCTACCCTCGTGATTGAATCATTGATGCCATCTGATAGGGTTTGTTGTAGAAACCAACAACAAGGTTTTTCCATCGTGGAGCACCAGACCATGATACATTGATCAATGGAGGCAGTCACTAGTATGCTACCATCTGATGATAATGCCATTGCGCAGAGCTTTTCAGAATTGTGTGTTAGATTCTGTATATGAACCCACTTAGGATTGTGGGCTCTAACATGGCACCAGATATCTATAGTATTGTCGTTTGAAATTAGTGCTGCTATTTGACCATCTGAAGAAATTGCTACTATTGCATCCTTCGAGCTGAGCGAGGACTCCAAAGTCTGTGGGAAACGTTCCAGGGCAGTTGCAGTTTCCCAAAGATGAATATCACCGTACCAAGAACCCAGTGCCAGAATCTTGCTGTCAAGTGAAAATGCAAGGTACTTGCTATCGTAACAGATGCGGGGATAGGCGGCACCTATATGTAACTCAATTTGGGCCCCATTGTTAGTATTAAAAAGGCCAACCCGCTCATGACAGTCGCTGATGGCAACCAATCCGGTATTTGGCGAGACTGCTAGCGCTAAACCCACGCATGACCTCCTGCCATTATCGCTAAAGGACTTGTGATGAGTCCATGGAAGAATTTTATCGACACTCTCGTGCTCCTCAAGCCTGGTTTCGTGCTTCCATAGATCAATAGGTATAGATCCTACTACAAAGTCATCATAATATCTCGAGAGTTGTGATACAGCGCTTCTTGGACATTCCAAGGTTTGCTTCACAGTCCACATGATAGAATCTCGAAGCTGGGTAGTCCCCTCACTAGCTTCACAGACTATTACATTTCCATTGGGAGAGAAGTTGACAGTTTTCAAACTCTGTGAATGGGATTCTAGATCCTCCTGAAGGATTGTCACGGCCAGATCCCAAAATCCAACCACACCGTCTCTCGAACAAAGAGCCAACAGTTTATTGTCACGTGAAAATGACACGGATGAAGGAATAAAATGGTAATCTAATGTTGTCTGAAGAGTCCAGTCAATAGAATTCCAAATCTCTATCGTTGTTGAAGTCGATATTAATGCAAAATACTTCCCATTTTTGGAAAATGTCATTCCAGTCCATCGATTCCCTCTCTGGAGATATGAATGATCTTTCAACGTGTGTTTCTGACACAGAGTTGCTGTAGTGAGATTCCAAACACAAATCTCTTGGACCCAGCTGACGACTACCGCTGAGCTTCCATTTGGAGATAATATGCAGTTGCAGCCCCATATTTGGCCAAGAGAAATCCAATCCCCATTTTCGACCCTCCAAAATTCAATGGTTAAGTCAGTACCGATGGCCAGAAGTAATTGAAGATCCGGCAGAAATTCTGCCGATAGAACTCTCGAATTTGAATATTCGTTTGCTAGATTCATAATCCGACTTGGAAATTCGTAGTTAAACTCAGTATTCCAAGCTGTTCCGTGGTCTTGGCAGCGGCGCCAAACTGTGACTTCAGTTTTCTTGTGAAAGATAAGGAAACCATCTTCCACTGAAAATGATAATGTGCGGTTGTAATTGGGTGGCCACCTGCATGCATCAATTACATGATTATGGCTGAGTCTACTCTGAAGCACCCAGGTGGCAGCATTCCATATATCGACGAATCCCGGAACGGAAACTGCTAAAAGCGTACCATCTTTCGAGAACGAGATGGCGTCAACAGCAATCTCGTCAACAGTTATTGTATTTTGAAGAATTCCGGTCACCCTATTCCAGATTTTCACATCACCCCCACAGCATGATGCGAACAAGATACTATCCTCGGATAACGAAAACGGGCCACCACCGCAGTCTAGAGTCTGTAATTCCGCGGACCATGTTGGTTCCATCTTTGATCGTATCTTGATTCCTGGTAACACCAGGTCTTTAAATGCTTTCTTCACGAGGCTTTCTTCAGGAGCAAACACGAGTGCCGAACAATAAAGTTGAGCAGGCGAATTAGCAACCATTCCTATGTTTCGGGTTATAAAACGTTTTGCATCTTGAAGAAACGCGGACAACTCTGATGTATCTACATTGCCAATCTCCTACAAAAACCATCGTTAGTTCAAGCTCAACATTTTAAATCGTCCCAAAACTTGAGCATGTTCAGAGTGAAGTCCGAAGACATTGTCTTCGAGTCTCAAGAAAAGTCTGAAACCTCCGGATCCAATCAATTCTTATTTAAACAAGAATGCTAATAGCATAGCCACTGTGTATGAAAGGAGGTATGCACAATGTATGAAAAACAACAAGACAAACCGAAATCTGCAAATATATGAAGTGAAGGATGCAACTTACCACGAGTGAATGCAGTGAGCTTATGAAGTCAATAGCCTTGGTTATCTCGCCGAGGTGGCATAAAGCCTCTAACCATTGTATAAAGTATTTCTGTAGAAATAGGTGAGCCTCTCCATCATCACTGATACGGAGGCCGCTGCACTGCAGATGGCTGACCCAATAACGGCAGGCATACCGGACATGCCCATGATCGATTAAGAGGTGCTTGGAGATACCAGCTTCTAGTCCCTTGAAGCTACAACCATTAACGTTCAAAGTCTTGTTTTGTAAGATATTGAGACAATGATGAAAAATTTCTTCGTGTGCCTTCTCCTCAGAGATCCAGAATGGATCCAGAGATCGTTGCTGGTCAAGAAGAAAGTCTCGGAACGATTGGTGCATCAACTTAATGGTAGCGCATTGTTTATCACTGACATTTTGTGCCATGTCCAGAACAGAATACAAAGGCTTCATGGCTCCCTTGATATTGTTAAGTTTTCTGTCGAGCAGGCGAGCCAAATCAATCTCCGAAAGTGGATCGAAAACCGAGACGATGGCACAAACAACAGGTTTAAATAAGTTGATAAACTCTTGGCATTCAGCGCTGGTTCTGCAAAATTGTGCCATAATTTCCCTGTATAAATTATCAAGCGCCTGTAAAGATGACTGGCTACCTGTACCTCCTTTGAGCACAAATTCCAGGCGCTGTTGGGCATCTTTTCCTTCATCTATGTACCGACATACAACAGCCGCGTAGATGAATAAACGACCGGATCGTCGACCGAGCTCACGAATGTTCTCTTCTCCCGGCCACTGTTGGCTGCCGCTTACTTCTAGGCAAGATATTTCATCGTGCTCCTCCAAGATCGCTCTTGTACGAGTGCGTATATAGATAAGAATATCATGCTCGTTTTCATCCTCGTGCATTTCATCGAGTGCATACTCGCAACAAGTAGCATTGTCTGTTTGGGGAACATTTCTTATTCGAAAAGCGTTACGTACGGCTGTTTCAGGCCGACTGGTGATGAAGAATCGAATGGGGCGGGTGTCTCCTTCTCGGTCCGCAATAAGTTTCATAATGATTTTAATATCCTTGCCCAAGCACTCATCGAGGGCATCAACTACAACAAGCAAGGAGCGCTTGTCTTCTGTTTGATTTGATGGACCACAAACAAGCTTTTTCCATTGATCCGAGAAGCTCCAATTATCGATATTCTGGTCTTTCTCTATCGCCTCGCAGATGTACCTTTTTATCGTTGGATCAATACTGGCTAATTGAAAAGCGATCGATCTGAAGAATCGTGTAGCATCTCCCCTACCCTCTTTGTTCCGTGCGAAGAAGAAACTCGCCCCCAATATGGTTTGACCGTCAATCCATTGAGCTACAGTGTGGGCTATTGTTGATTTACCGGTTCCAGCTGCACCTTTCAACCAGAAGACCGCGGGGCCTGCGGCGTTGTCATGCCATTTCTTGATCTCCTCGAGGGCTGTAACACGAGTTTTTTCTTGGCAAGAATCATGCTCATTCGCCGGCGAGTTAACAACTGCTCCCTGAGGTGGATCTAGCTTGAGTAATAGTTCACTTTGCCTCGTTTGGCCCTGATCATTTCCAAAGCTTGCAACCTGCTTGATCAAGTCTTTTTGACCTCCCACTATCTCATTTTGACTTTGAACTACTTCCTATTTAGCTTCAAGTTAGTATAAATTCATCACTCTTGGGGGAAGATTGTGTACAGACTATCAATCTGTCTTCCAGCGAGCTGACTGTCTTATCGATCTCAGATAGGAGCTCGAAGCTGAATGATTTCAAATGTTCATCGATCGTTGTTTGATGTTTCCGAACAGTTTGAAGTATATCATTCCACGGATCAGCCAGGACAAAATTTCTAAAGAAGCGTGTAGATCCGTTCCTTGAAAGATGAGTAGAAAATCGAATTTGGTACTCTAATATCGCAGCGTAGAGATCGATGGTGGCCAATCGCCATGAACGAATCAAGTCCTGCAGATACAGTTTTGCGTTTGTCTGACTACATAGAAGCTGTTAGCTTTCCGAAGTACTGTTAACCCCCCCCCCAAAAGTATTAAAGAGTAGATTCATATCCAATGCCTCAATTTCAAAAGGGTTTTCAAGTGCTCGAACTTTTCAAAAAGATTCCTGCACTGCATTAAGGCCCAACGAAAGATTGAACATTCCATCTTGTGGAGCGTATTTCGTTTGCCCTAAATCCCTGATTTACAGTTTGTGCGTGATCCGCGAAATAAGATAGAGGGAATATTAATTAAGCAAGAATCGAGCAAGTACCTTTGTGGTTCCTTCCACAATCGACGCTCGACGACTTCGGAACGGATCAGCACGTGGCAAATTTCTTCAAACCCCGTGAGCGCATCTTCGTCTTGAGTAATAGGGTTTAACAGGATCTATTCACATGCTATGTCAGGATTAACTCTCAAAATATCAGAAAAATAAATTGCAAACATACTGGAAGAAATATTAGAACACCCGCCCATGCTAACGAGGCATGTGGATCGCCAGATATCGCCGTTGTGATGAAGTCTTTGCCAGTTATTATCATCTTGACACTTTTACCAAGCACTTTGTTGATTCCAGTAAGATGACTGGCCTTCCAAGCCTCGACTTGGTCTTCGAGGATAATCCTCTGAAATGACAATGTAGCCTCGACGTCGCCCGTTGCAGGAGTTTCATCGTCGCTTCCCTCTTTTTGTTCGGGTTTGTCTTTATCGAGATACTTGATAAGCCATCCACAGGTGTAAATATTTGTCTGATCATGACACTTACCAAGCTGATGTTGCTCCAACAAATCTCGTTGATAGCTATCAACAAGCTTACCAAGCTCCGGATCTTGACAAAGTTTCTCCCGGGCTTCTACCCAGAGTGAAATCCGATCTTGACGCCCCACAGGAGCAGCAACAACGGTAGTGGGAGTAGGAGAGCAAGCAACACTAATGGGCAGAATGTCATTAGGCTGTGCATCAGGAAGCCCATGAGAAGGCCCATCAACAGCTTCATCCCCAACCGACTCAAGCGCTTGAGCATCAGATCGAGGGCGAATCTTCTGCTTGAATCTACGGGACAAACAATTACGGAACTTCATGATGCTTTTCTCGACTCTGTGCTTTCGATAAACTGGAATTTGGATACGAATCGACGTGCAAGAAAGTTCTCAAGAGTGGCGAGCCTTATGCCGCATCTTTGCACAACTACCATAACGAATTGTGCGACATACACGTCACATGAAAAATGCACCACTCCGCCCTGCGAAACACAGCATTCGTATCGCAGTAGCGCGTTACTAGAAACTCAAGGCGCACAGATTTCTTTCATTCGCTCTTGTAAGATGCACAAATGGGGCGATACGGTTACCATTCTGGGTCGATGTTCAGCGTAACCTGAAGCATTTAACGACTCGAATCCAGTTGGTTCGGTCCGCATTGTCGGAGCAAAGTGGTTGGTATCGCCTTTCATTGAGAGATTCGAAAACAAATCATTAGCCCTGATTTTCAGATATTTGAGAAATTGAGTCATACCACATCAAGAACCCACAAGAACCCCTCGTCAAAACTCCCATACCGTGTAATCCATTCAAGATATCTACCTAGCATAACAGAGCACGTCATATCCTCACGCACCATCAGACTCTCAACCCTACCTACCCCTTTCATGCACCCCAAAATCCGCACCCAGACATCTTAAGTAAGGTGCGACTGTCTCAAAATCGATACACAAGTAGGTAGGTTAGATAAATGAGGCTCTCAATCTCGATCCACGCGCTTGCGTGATACCCCATCTGCAGTCCCCAAGCATGGCAGTCTTCCCCACAAGAATAACATGCACATCTATATCCATCGAAACATACGTCTTCACATAACTCACCTAAATTTCAATACATTGACAACCATATAAAACTCCACTCATCTCCCGTAATCTAACAAAACTTCATATTCATTGCTCGACTTTCATTTAAGAAGAAGGGGTATGTCCTTAAAATAACAACAACAACAACAACGACAACAAATAACCCAAATTACAGGACGCCGAACGCTCAATGCTTTCTTTGCTTTTTCAGCCAGCAGAACTAGAATCAAAATCGCAATACAATAATACCTATGTAGTAGGTGCCCAAATCACTGATCCTTATCCCATATGTATGGTCAACAATAATATACTCTTTATTTATCCTTCGAGAACCATGGAAACTTCTTTTTCACGGGTTCTGCGGCTCCTGATGCAGACTCTACTTGGAGACTTCGTTGGTAAATATCCTAATTGAGGGTTAGTTTTCATGTTTCCACAGGCCGTTGTAAAGGTGGATTGAGAAGAATAGAATACGAACCTCATCATCTGTAGGAATGAGACAATCCAGAATGAGTTCCCTCACCTTATCATTATAGATAAGCTTTGGATATGGTTCAGTTTGACTCTTCATAATGGGTAAGATAACCTCGGACAAAACCTCAAATTTCTTCCAATTGATCCTCTCTCCATTTGCCCCAACGAAAGTTCGACTTCCTTCCTCAGCCGAGACAAGATCACGCCGAGTCAATGGAATGAAAGGAATACGAGGCAGTGGAGAGTTCTCCCAAGCCAAACGGTATGCGAAATGACTCTTTTGTGTACCCATCAACAGGACTAGACGAGCAAAGCGCTTTTGAACATCTGCAGGAACCAGGTTCCGAGTCTGAGTAAGGCGATGTATAGCGGTTCCATTGATTCCCGCAAGAACAGCTGCAAGACCATTATAATTATTCAGCTGGCGCAGCCTCAGGGCTATGTTCATGAATTTCTCTAATATCTGCGCTCTGTGTTTGGCTTTATCTCGCATCAGAATCATATTAGCAACCCATTTTGCAATATGGTTGAAATGATTTATCATGCGATTCACATTGGCAAGACTTTTACATTTTTCCTTCTGATTGAGTGAGAGGCTAACATGTCGAACCAAATCCCGAAGACGTATGGAAGAAAACATAACCCAGTCTATCCTGGTCATTTCATCAGCAAGGTCGGCATTTGATATTTCCATGAACATGTGATATCTGTCTTTAGATAATGGTAGGATGCCTTTGGGTGTCAATTTTGCAGCCTCTTTCTCGTAGTCTTCGACCGCAAGAAACGCAGGTGAACTAAAGTCCGGTTGAGACGTTCGAGCCGAGAATAGAGATTCCCCCCTAGACCCTTTTAGCTCCATGTCACTGAGGTCGTCTTCTGGTGCTAAAGTAGTCACATCCGTTTCATACCCTCCTTTGGAATCGGCCCTTGTGGTCGTAGGAGAAACGGGGGCTGATTCGTTAGCTTGTTCATTGTCAACATCGGCGTCTGTCCTAGCCCAGCCTGTATCGTCATCCTCTACCACACGAGATTGTAGTTGGGTCCGCATTTCCTGCGCGGCGGCAGCAAAGACTGGATCCGAAGCTAATTGGTTTATGAAGCCATCTAGCTTGCGGCTTGTTGATAGACTTGCGAAATCACCCGGATATCCCGATACCCATTTAGCTACCACGGTAATGATCCGAAGCTGAGTTGTAGTTCGTGTTAAATAATGGATATTTTTGTCCTCTCCTAAACGAGTTAACCTGTTTAGAATTGCATCGAAGAGTTCACCAGGAGCTGCAAATTTTCTATAAAGGCAGAGAAAGATTTCCGAGAAGTTGACATCAGCTTTTGACATGTGTTGTCCAAGGAGTCGATCGACAAGATCATCAAAAGTGACGCCGGCCACTTTAGCAGGTTTGTCGAAGAAAGTATCGTCACTACGCTGGAGAAGTGGTATGTCATCGGAGTATCGGTATGGAGAGTCTGAATCCAATTCCTCAACGTCGGATGAGACGTTAGTGTCAATGATTCCAGTTGTGCTAGGTGAGAGGGCTGAATGTACCTTTGGTCCTAGGGGTAACCTGGGGCTAGCGCCGGAATTGTCCAGGTGATTTTCACTTCGGAAAGCTGGATGAGCAGAAAGAGGGGGAGCATCATGTGGGTCAGGAAGCATGATTTGGTGTGACAAATTTGTTCGGCCGTTAGATCGACCAGCCAATGGCGGGGAAGGAAGAGCTCGGCCAATAGAAAATTCTGAGCTAGCACGACTATGCTTAGATTGCTGACTCAAAGGTCGAGGAACGGTGGGTTCGGATAACTTCTCAATATTGGCAGAAGAGGTTGCTCGACGGCGAGTACCTTGAGGTTGGATTGAAGGAATATCTTCTGAATATTTGATGAGTAAGGATTCTCATGAAGAGGGACGGTGAACGGTGAACATCAACGTTTGACCCGGTACACTAATACTGGATTGCAGAGGACTTTTATTGTAAACAATTTGACTAGGATTGTCCGAACGATGCGAGATGACTCAAAGAGCAAAGTATAATTAAGGATGTCACACCACATATAGATTGCTATAAAATTACCATTGACTTACTATTATGATTATTGCTTCGATTTGCCATAACGGCTCGAAGCATAGAAGAAAGACAAAGTCTTGCACTTTCAGGAACATTTGCTGCAGTTTTGACAGATTCTACACATGACATACATGCTGTTTCGAGGCTATCGACATTAAGTTGACGAGTGTGTTCAGGGTTGTCGCATTTACATGAGACGAGGATAGTAGGAAGACCCGAATTCACCAATGCATCTTGAAACGATCAGTTTTTCTCCCACGCCGGCTTCACTGCGGGGGCTGAACTCACTTAAAGTCTGGGGTAATTCTGCAATACTCTCCCGATTCATAACATCGTATAGTAATAGTGCACCATCCATTCGTGGGACAATGTGTCCGTTTATTTGTTTTGGCCATTGTATGCGACGATCAGATACTATATCAAACGATTCGAGATCCAGCTCAAACAGACTGACTATGTAGCCCACCTCATCAACTGTCATGCGAAGACTCGATGTGACGGAAGTTGGTAATGATCGTAAACCCAATGCTCGCTGTATCAAAGTGCTCTTTCCCACGCCATTACTCCCAATCACTGCAATATTTATGTCTGACATTCCGCTCCTGGATTGAGGCTGAATAGAAAAAAAAACACCAGTTAGTCAATTGGTTCAAAGAGTTTCGCAGGAGGGAGTCAATGTAGATTGAGTATCACATACTGGTATTGCACTGGCTGGATTGTCTACGGAAGGTCTTTTGTTGGATCGTGGTGGTGGATTTTTGAGTACGTCGTCATCGTGCGATCGATCAGAGTATGTTACAGACCTCAATTCTCTTGCCAAAGAGACCGAATGTGGTGATTGATAATTTCTGAAGAAAGGATCGTCTTTGATGGATGCGACAGAATCTCGATAACTTCGCGCATGAAGGTCCAATGCTTCTTCTGTATCGTCCTCTATCGTAGTCGAAAATCTCGGCGGATTACCACTATGACTACCGCTGCTAAGAGGGACAAATGGTGCCGAGGACGTTCGCGAGCCCAATCCAGGACGTGAACGCAGACCAAAAGTTTCAGAAGCGCCGACAGATGGAGGGGAAACCGATAAAGTTCGAGAGCTACGCGGAAACCGTCGTGAATCCGTTCGCAAAGGAGTTGAGGATTTGGATCTTTTTGAAGTAGTGCGCGCTGGGAAACCACCTGCACCAACTTGATCCATGGTGGGTATTAGAAATGTATCTTAGTGTGCTGCTGGGTGTGGTGCAGTAAGTACCCGTCGTTCCCCGTGTATCTGTATCTGTATCTGTATCGAATCGTATCGTATCTTTCCGGACCCAAGAAACTGTGCAGTAATTTAATAGTAATCAAACCCTTAATCCCCTTCCTTGGGTAAATCCGTCGCACAAAATTGAGAGGGTTTGAGACCCTTTCCCTGTCAAGGTTTGTCGGTAAGTGGCAGCAATGTTGATTTTGCGGTTTGTTACATGCTGTGGGGATCAAGGGAGGATCAAGGATTTTCTAATTAGATTTCATGGGAGTGAATGCCGGAACATGATCATTTTGGAGTTTGGATGTTTGGATGTTTGGATGTTTGAATGTTCGGACGTTTGGATATTTGGGATGTTTGACTATTTCCGAGTTTGTGTTTTATGAGTGAAGTCTCTCCAAGAGCAATGAAGATGTGTTGAGTGACTTGAGTTTGAAGGGAGAATATCAAACTCGAACGGCTTTTGCTCCAGTCTCAGATAATATTGCAAAGTACCCAAACTCAAAGTACCTAGGCCTAGAATCTGTCTCTCGCTCGCTCGCTCTCTTGCTCGTTCTCTTGCTCGTACTATCCTGTACGGAGTAATGATGGTGTAATAAGAAGTAATTGCTAGGTGTGCTAATACAATGCGGTAAGATCTGGGGTGGGAGGGTGTTTTTCCATAGATACCCAGGCTCCCAGGGAACAGGTACGAATGAATCCGCGAGAACTTTAGATAATCGGGGTAAATTGAAAAACAAGAAGATACCGGTACCTAGATGATACATGGGATGAACTCTAGGGCTCGATTGGAGATGGCTGGATCAATCAATCGATTTTCATTTGGATAATATCCATCTCATTTCTTGATTGATGGCGAATCAATTGTCATGTCATGATCAAGATTGGATTTCATCTAAGTTCGTATGCGTGGCGGTTTTATTTGTATGAATTATCCACCTATTTTTCGGCTTGGTCTGTCTGCACTCCGTGGAAGAACTCGATGATTTGACTGTCACCCAACGATGGTAATATGTTTTGATAGAGGAGGTGTTTTTTATGTTATTTATCCGTCCATCTATTCGTCTCTTGCGTTCCCTTTTCTTTCCTTTCCTTCTTTCCTTATTTCCTTTCCCTCTCTTCCTTCATCCTTCTCTTCCCCCGCCCCCTCTCCCCTCCCCCTTCCGGCTATCCTTCATCATTTGAATTCCGTCAATCATCAATAACCCTTCCGACCAGATTGGCCATATGGATACACGTGAGGCTCCGGGATGATCTCATAAAACTATTTATATTCAAGCAAGAACATCACGGCGCAATCACCATTTTGCTTTCTGGGAGCTAGAAGCAGTGAGCAGTAAATTGAATTAAGACTTCCCAGTTGAGAGTGTTGATGAGAATCAGAATACCTAGTTAGGTACCTAGTAGTTACCTAGTATTCACAGACCATCGCCAATGAGAGACAACAACATCATCCATCACAAACACAAAAACCAAAGAATTGATACTCCCTGTATACACAAAGGTAGGAGGAAGATATTCGTCCATCCACTATTGATAACCTTAAGTTATTCTTTCGCCCATCTATAATCATCTTTTCCACAGCTCTGCCCTGGTGGCCATACATACAGACATTCTCCCTACTCTACGTGCGCAGGCGACTATAAGTTTTGGTTCTCAATATTCTCCCTTCCCTTCCCTTCCCTTCCCCTTACCTTCTTTCCCCCTTCATTTCACCATTATAGTATGTCACATCACAAGGCTGAAAGGATACCCCTAATCGCCACTTTTCACATACAGTACTAATGCACACTACAAATCCATGTCACATTATCACGACAACATGCAGTAGTCGCTCGATCCATCTCGGGAGGAATGTTGGGGCGTGAACACGGGCTGGGGTCACTTTTTCCCCCCATTGCTGTGTACCTAATAGGTAGTTCAATGTTCGAGATGATAATACAGTATCCTGCCATTGGATTTACCCGTGGACACTAACTAACTAACACATTCATGCAGCGGTATCATCCGTTTTCAATGCATCTCAGCTCAGCTGCTCTTCTAAATCTCAAGTGACTTGACCACAACAACATGACAATCCTTCTCTGCAAATCTCCATCCTGACATGTCAATCTTGTCACTTTATGAACCTTAACCTTAACACGCACAGAACAAAAAATGCACATCAGCTACCCAAGTATCACGTAGTATGCCCGTGTGTGTGTCAATAGCTTTGCCGCCACAACTCGCCACAGAACCACATGATCCCATTTGACTCCAGTATAACCTCATGGCACGGATACAATTTCTCTCACGCCAGAATGGCTAGTGTGTGTCCATCCGAAAAGGGATGAAGTTCGAGTGCTCAAAAGAAAACGCAGCAAAAGCTTGCAACATTTCACGTACTATCAAGTGACTCTTGTTGATACTAAAGAGTAAGAGGAAGCAAATTGACCTGTGACCGCTTTTCATATGCAAGTGGACGCTGGCACTGGGCAGACGGAAGATTGGATTGCTGGGTACCTAGTGGGCTGGGCTGGGCTGGCTCGCTGGGTAAGATTTGGTCCGACCGAAAACTGCAGATCTCGAACAAGGTTTCCCCGCATGATAACTGTATTTCTACCACCGCAATATTATGCTACTCTATGAGTCTATCTTTCAATTGGTATATAATTCCGTCGCTAACGGTCGTTCCAATCGAGTTAACATATATTCCTCTCTACTATCTACATCGATGGCGAGCACTAGATGTATTAGATCGTCAATGGTTTACCAAATTTACGTATGATGTTGTCGAAGAGACGAGAATATTGCATTACGAAAGTCAAGGCTACTCTTTGGAAGTTTTTTTTCATCTTGGACCCAAGTGGGCTCAAACTACTTGTTATCTATTTAGATTATCGCGCTATGAGACCATAGCGCCATTAAGCATTAACTTTACAGTACCCGTTAGACAAAAGCCTTAACCAATCCAGAAGTTTCATCGAATGCTGCCACAACCTTCCATCACCCTTCTTACTCGAAAGTCGATGGATCTTCCTAGCTCCATGCCTGTTGCTGACCGAGTAGAAGGAGAAGCTAGCATGTGAATAACAATAGATGGTTCTTCAATTATCATCACAAGTCTGTGGACGGTCCCTTGCTTTGTTGATTTCAACTTAAAACAGACATCGATATTTCGCATGATTTCAAAGAAATGACTTGGAATTCTTGGTGGATGTTGTCAATATCATGTACGTGTAAGTGGGTAGTGTTATCTAAGTATAGATATATAGATCTCCTCATTCTCCTTCTTCTGATTTATTTTGCTTTGCTTTGCTTTGCTTCATTTCCTACTTGTTCTTCGTTCTACCATACATTCTGTAACGTTACACTTGTGTTAGATCCATCGTCTAGAAATACCCCGCCAGGCAAAGTTCCTGACTCTCCTGGCATCATTTCAACGCCGCAGATTTCACAACCTGCCATCCAAACCATCCTCAATTGAGCCACCAGGTTTCAAGCTCAAAGTCTCGAGCCTCCACAACTTCATCTTGTTTACACAAGCCTCCATTTCCGCTTCACAAACAATCCAATCTTACATCTCTCCCGACCCCCATCTTCGCAAATCCTTCTCCCCATACACCTCATCCTCAATCTGGACTCGCGCTGCCCCACTCGCGTCACTTTCAGGGTCTCACCACGCTACAGAGTTTACGCTACTACCTGCCTGACTCTTTGCCAACAGTTTTCGTACACCCGTAATTTCCAGCGTGAATACTTCTTCCGGCTACGCGCTGTGTTCCGATCTGCTCGAAGCCTTCGGTTGTGGTCTTGTGAGAGGTATCACTGACACAGACACTTGCGACCGTTCGAATCGGGAAGTGTCTCAGTTTGAAGAAGCACAAGGAGTGATATTGTCTATATAGAGCACAGAGTCAGGATTCAAAATGGATACATCAGTTGCTGAAGAACCCATTTCGACTTATGAAGAAGTGTGTTGGGTAAGTCATATCCATCTTTTGGGCACAACCCCAAACTACACATTACACAAAATCTAACAACACCCCAGAAATCCAAACCTCACAGAACAATGACTTACCCCCCACGCCCCCAATCTCACTACCACCCCCTCCCCGCACCCCGGACTCGCTCCAAAAAAGGCGCTCCCCTCGACCCCGACGACCTCTCCCGCCGTCTCAGAGCCCACCTCGCCCAACAAAAAGCCCTCGCCGACCACCGTCGCTCAGCCCGCTCCTCCACCTCCACCTCCACAGACCCCTACCACCACACCCCCCAAGTCGCCGTCCTCTCCTTCGAACACACAGCCACCGCCGAAAAACTCCGCAACGTACACAAACCCTCCCAGCCCGCGCTGAAAAGTCTAGGCTACATGACCATAGACGAAGGGGGCGACGGAATCGGCGGCTGCGGCTCCGGATACGTGTATCAGAAACCCAGCACGCTGTTACAGAAAACGCAAATTTGCGATCATGCCATGGTCGACCGGACGAAATTGAGAAATCGGAATCAGTATCAGTGGACGGCGGCGCTGGAGCGCGCGGCGGAATTGGATGCGGAGAGGGATGTGTATCGATGTCCGCGGAGAACGTTCAATTCGGAGGTACCTGTTGTGCATAAAAGTCGCGCCGTCATGCGACCCATGAGTATGGGGGATTATTTGTCGTGGGAAGAAAAGGAGGAGAAGGAGGTGAAGGAAGTGAAGAGGGAGAAGCATGACAGACATGATTGGACGCAACGGGATGAGAGTGAGGAGACGAGAAGGTCGATGAAGGGGATGGTGGGGCCGTTATTGTCGTTGAAACTTAGGAAGGGGAAGGGGCTCGAGTCGGGCGAGGGGTTAAAGACAAAGTCGCTTGCGAGATCACCGAGCAGAGTGAGCTTTTTTGGGAGATTCAAACGTAGTTCTCCTGTTAATGGTAGTTAATGAATTAATTTTATTTATATTCAAGGGTATCTATTAATTTCTTTCCAGAGCGCGCTGACTTCTAACTCTTAAATTTGTCTCGTCTTCCTAAGCTTTTTATGCATGATATCCTATTTGGACAGAACGACAACTTCATCTTATCTCCCATCTGCCCAAAAGAGATCCAGGAAGTCTTTGATAATATTGTCGACCATACTCTATTACCGATATTAGACTCATAAAATATGAAGTCAATGAATAGAGAGCTCACCGTTATCGCCTGGGCGGATATTTTTGGCGTGGTCATCATACCATTATCGCCTTTCCAAAGTGAGGTCTCTGTAATGCGTAAATTGATGCTGGCATCTCACAATCTCTTCATCTCCTCTTCTCAGATTCCAGTAATGCTCGAACCACCCTGGTGCTTTCGGCCAAGGCCTCCTTTCGTAAAATTTCTGCTGCCGCCTCTTCGTCCTGCTCATCTTTATCACCTAGAAGCCGCAAAACAAGTCCACAGTACTCCCGAATGCCCTCGCCATCTTTTCCATAATAACCTCTTGCGTTCTGTAAAGCTTTCCTCCCATTTTCCCACCCCTGATCTTGGTTCCATTTATGTGAATTAAATCCTGTCGGGCGGAGAGTGGCAGCATCAACTTTTTCGAGATGTGAACGTAGATTTGGGTATTTTTTGAATAGCTCTTCAAGCTCCTTCGAGTTGTCCAGAGGCTCAAATGGTCCTTTGGCTTTGGCTGCAGCTAGAGTTCCTGCTCGCGCTGCGGGATTCGCTTTGGATATTGGTGATGGGGCTTTGTTTGGAGGAGGCGCAGAGGCAAGTTTCTCTTTCTCTACTTCGTGGTCGTTGGTGTCGGCTTTGTGTATGTTTGAACATTTTACAGAGCAGCTTTCTGAGAATCAGCGCAAACTTCTTTTTCGCTCGTAGAAGAAGGCACTTACTATCGCACATCACAATATCTGCAATTGTACTTGTAACTGTTCTCCTTACATAGGATGCAGAGTTTTGGATCAACGGAAGGCTTCTCCATAGCGACACGATTTGTGAGATCGATAATTTCGACTGGCGCTTCTGCTACACTAACGCTGAATTGATTCTTGAGATCGATAGGTTCAGATGAGTGACCACCTTCGAAAGAGATTTCCATAGTATCCATAATGTTGAGGAACGATAGAGGCCTGCGTATACTTGAAGCTCTTTGGACAGACGAAGGGACGAACGAGAGGAAAGAAATATTGACTGTGAACCGTTCTCGTCAATTCATCTGAAATGTGTTAATACTCACATGCGGATGAGATTATACTTTTCCAGACAGAAAGTGAAAAAGGAAGCTAGCAATTTCGATAGGATGTGAAAACTGAAGAAGTAAGTTCGGATGAGAATAATTTGAGAAATGCATCGCTATTGCAAGCTCGTAGCCTTGCACGGCCGACAAAAAAAGTTTTGATGGAGATAGAAATTGTTGATAACGATAAGAACGGCCAATCAAAATGGAGGTAATACCATTCTGCGTCATATCAACGCTTACAAAGAACCTCACGTAGAATTCGTAATATGAGAAACACATTTCAATCTTCACTTCATATTACCAATACACCTAACATCGTCACCATATCCTAAATTTCTTTCGAATATTCAGCTTGGATACTACAATACAATATATTGATCATATTCATCTCATTCTCAAGACCTCAGGTGGAACACACGATGGCATCAAAAAGAATTATTCAGGATGCAAAGACATTGCTATCCAAATCTCGACCGGGGAAGTCATCATTTACCATCTGTCCTAGAAGCTCGCAGCGATATGTACACCAAAGTGCAAGATTACCAGCTATGACAGCTTCGAGTTCAAGGACGAGACCAACTCTTCAACCACTCCATCAACCATCAACCATGTTAAAGCCTGCTGCGATCGGCGGCATTCGCAGCATCTTTATCCAAACAGAAGACACTCCAAATCCGGATGCACTGAAGTTCCTTCCTAATCATCCAATCATACCACAAGACGTCAATTCGCCCTTCATAGAATACCTCAACCCCAGATCCACGCTTGCGCCACCATATCCATCCCCGCTCGCCGCATCGTTGATGAATATCGACGGGGTCAAGTCCGTTTTCTATGGCGCGAATTTCATTACAGTCACCAAGGTAGAGGATGCGAATTGGGCGCATATCAAACCAGAAGTTTTCAGTCTCATTACGGAAGCAGTAACTTCCGGTGCACAAATTGTTAACCTCACGGAGAGGACGGGAGCAAGTGGCGAACCAGAGGAAGAAGACAGTCTAGCATACAATGAGGATGATCCGGAGGTTGTCGGAATGATTAAGGAATTGCTTGAAACTCGCATCCGGCCCGCAATCCAGGAAGATGGTGGGGACATTGACTATCGCGGGTTCGAGGACGGCATGGTCAAGTTGAAGCTCCGAGGTGCATGCCGAACTTGCGACTCAAGTACTGTTACGTTGAAGAATGGTATTGAGGGAATGCTTATGCATTATGTAAGTACCAAAACCTCCATTCTTGGATCTAATGCTCAGATGATCATTTATGCAACAATGGGCTAACAACAAGTGCAGATTGAAGAAGTGAAAGGAGTTGTACAAGTATTGGATGAGGAGGAAGAGATAGCCCTCGCAGAATTTGCAAAGTTTGAGGAGAAGTTGAAGCAACAAAAAGGTCCTGATGCAGTTGCATCAAGTAGCTTAGATTCTATTCCAGGTTGAGCTCGGTACTTGGTTAAGGAGGCATGACTTTGGGATCTACCCGCATGGCAGCAGCGCGGATGTACAAAGAATCTGTTAAGGTTTCTCACTGGAGAGGATTTTGTTTCACAGCGTCGGCAATACCCACATAAAATTTGTGCATGTTTTACCATTCACGCGATGGACGAAATAGATTGCACATCAAAATCGAACATATGTGCCTAAGCCCCACCTCACAGCACCCCTCTATGTTTCATTTCATCTTTGAAGATCGAACGGTTTTCAATGACCATCTACAAATGTTCAAATTTGACAAACGAATTGACTTGGACGTCTGAACACAAATTCGGCCGTATAAGTCTTTTCCAGGTTTGATGCTCCTATGATATCAATTCGGCCTCATTGAATAGAAATTTGGATATCCCGCACCCCCCCTGATACTGCTTCATGCAAATCCAATTACGAAGTACATATGTCCCCTCACCCTGCATCAACTGTGATGATTTGATTGGATCAAAATTGCGGGTCTTTCTTCCATCCACAGCAGGGTGTGGGCAAAAATTTCCGTGACGAATCAAGTACGCGTTGTTGAAATGGGCGTTTTGGCTTTCCAATGTCACCACTCAGAACTGCAGGATTTCTTGGCTGGCAAAGAAACTTGATAGATATCGTATGGTTTTCTACTCGAATGACGAGGCTGGAGAGGATATGCGCAGTTGACAAGATATAATGGTATCGATGGAGGGACAATGAGGGGTTACCTTCTTGGTGATTGGAGATGTACATGCGGAAGCGCCTGTAGGTAGAGTTGCTTTCGGCTTTGTCGGTGTTGCACCAGTATGGAATGGTAAGTTCTCATTTCCCCGCGATTGTAAAGGGCTTTCGTGGAAGACTGGGAGGGAACTTTTGCCGATTTGAATTGTCAGGGAAATAGGAGATATTGATGCCGCTTTTGGTTGACGGGGGGGGGGTTTTGAGGGGGTGAGGGGAAAGGAATGTTAGAATGGATGAAGTTCAATTGGTGTCTGTGTCTTTCTGTAGGTATTTGCAGTATAATCTACGGAGCAATCCAGAAACAACTAGCTTGATTTTATCACTGCATGCAAGAATCTACTTTTATCACCTAGACTCTGATAGGGCAATGCCGTTCTTCTTTGTTCGTTCGGGACATCCCACTCTTCAACCGCCTCCCGGATATTTCTTTAGACTTTCATCTCCTGCCTTTACTTTCTCTCTCCTTGCCAACGTTGGACCAACTCAAGGTTCGAGGGTCCAAAACTAGATCAGCAGAGTGCGGGAAGGAAAATGCGGGAGAGGAATCCGGGGTAGCTTGAAAGCCTGGAAAAATGCAGCAGAATTTCACAATCTTGTAATATGTCGCCATCTCGATCCTAGACTGAAAGGATTAATATTATTACGACATACGCCATCCAGATCTTTGTAACCGTGTCAAGGGAAGAAACAATCATCCGTCGAAACAAACAGAGGATGAAGGAATTATTCATCGAATGAGATGATGGTGGCGTCGTCGTTGTGGCAAAGATTGGATTGTTTGTTTAATTTATATGTCATGTCGAAAGTATTTGGACTTTGGAAAGATGCACAGGTAGGTATGTGAGGAAGAAGGTAAAGGCAATAGGAAGAAAAGAGGGTATCGTATTATGCTGCGGTGGTTTGATGTATGTATGTATGTATGGTGTGTGTTGCAACTTTCAAGATGGGCTCACAACATAAACGTTAACTTCTCGTACTTCCATCTATTTCGTGTGCTTCTTATTGTCATATGAATATTTGTGATAAGGAGTGTGATGATTATGGTCTTTCATATCTGCAATGCCGGTACTTGAGATTTCCTTTCCAATGAGATGGAGTGTGATACCTAGGTACCTAGTAATAATGCGTGGTATTCAATCAACCAATGTATCAAACGCTCTTTGTGGTATCGCCAACATGGATGCAAAGTATCGGTCGGGTAAAAACATCTACGAACGAAGCATCGTACAGGATGAATTGAATGTGACTTTTTCGAGTCAATGAAGCGGCAACAGATGGTTTCTTCTTTTCAATTAGTTTGTCCTACCCAATGTTGCAAAGGAAAACCCGACATACCCAGCTCAGCTACCTCATACGCTCACGGGGGATTTGAAAGAGATCGTCGCTTTATTAATCTATATATTACTAAGAGAAGGGATTCGAGGCCTCGCCATCTCCTATTTCGGTCGGTCTGGATCTGTCACGTAAAGATAACCTGGTAGTTTTTAGGATCATACCTAGTCCTCCGTACGATACATCGTACATTGTT